TGTACATTACTTTTCACTTTACTGCTTTTTGCACTCCTGGCTAGAAGCTAAACTGCATTTCGTTGTCTCAGTACCTGTAATCTGTGCAATAACAATAGAGTTGAATCTAATCTTGAGCAGGAACAAATGTATTTACTTAGTACATATCTGACATTAACGATTAAACACGTGTGCATTCTTTATGAATGCAAACCGTGTCAAGCCGACTCCGGAGGTGGCGGTATGCACCTTAAAGTTGTTTGCAATCCGCCAAAAAACCGAGAGAAGAAGAACGCGAAGAAGTAGAAGAAGAAGAAGAAGAATCCGACTCGGAGCTGTCCGACTTCAGGCGAGCTTTTTGAGACCTCCCCCGGCTGCAATCGGCTATTCTCGTCTACTTTCGAGGCGACCCGCAACGCGTCTCAAACAAGCCTATTTTGTCCGACTTGCTCGGTAGTGTAAAACTCTCGCCAGAGTTTGCAAGTCACGTGGCTGAATGTTTACGTTTGGCAGGCAGCCTTTCAGTTACGATCGTTAACATCAGTGGGCCACAGCAAATGACCGTGAGAAGCTAAACTATCTATTAATGATGTCAATGACAGGGAGTGTGATTGTTGAAATAGGGTGTTAGTGGTCTTGCTGTTCAAAGAAGAATGACAACACTGCAGATCACCAACACTATGGTTTATTTTTTATTCACANCGGCTTCAGGGGCCTCACCGCGCGGCGCGCGCGCGCTGACCGAGTCATTTTTCCCGACGCCCTTGATGCGTCCGTCGAAGATTGACTTCGGAAGCGCTTCATTTAGCCGGTTCTTGAGGCGGCTATGTGAGGAGTAGAGGTGTCGAGCGGTACAAAAAAAACACAGCCGAATCAGATAGAGAGAGCGCAACAGCGCCGCCCCGATTACGATTTACTCACGATGACGCGTCGTTTTGCCGGGGACTTCGGGTGGCAGTATACGCCGTGAAGTTGTTTGCGTCCTGCCAGTAAACCCAAAGCAGAAGAAGAAGAAGTGACATCAGCGGCTCATTTGCGTAATCTTCCCTCAGGGAACTTATTCCGGTGTGAACGCGAACTGTACTTAGCTCCATGGGGTTACTAAGTGCCGGCCGGGGCACTAAGTGTCGGCACTAAGTACGGCAAAGTACTTGGTGTGAAAGCGGCTAAGATTGACAAACATCATATGTGTAATTCATGGCACAATTCAAACGGGATCGAAAGATACGTTTTCTCTCGCCATTGACTTCAATACATAATAATACATGCGGTCTACGAATGCAGCCTCCGAAGGATGCAGCCCCTGAATTGAGACCGGGGGCCCTTCTCACTTCTCTTATTTTTCATTTCCTCGCTCCTCGGTCTCGGTCTCACCGGAAGTTGATTTGTCTGCGCCATCTTGTGTAGCGTCCCAATGGCCTTATTTTTGCCGGAGGGCCGAGGGCCGAGGATCAAGGAGCGATGAGCGATAATGGAGGAGCGATAACCGAGGAACCATCAGACCATCCTCCGATGAAATCCTCAGACACTTGCCCAGCCCCTTACTGTGTATCGCTCACTGATTGGACGATGCAGTGCATGCACTGATCTGATGCTTCTTGACATGAGAGCAGTTTCCCAGCGGAGTGAAGAAAATACATGAACCTCACGGGAGTCACTCCTCAGTTTATACCGTGTTTTGTTTCAATTCATGAATAATTTAGTTACAAATATGTGATATATCTGAACAACAAAGTGGTCAAAAATCATTTTATTCATTTTTTGGAAACATTTTCATGATCGCTTTTTTCGTTTTACATTTTCATTTATTGTCATTTCCATTCAGTCAGTCATCAAGTGCTATTTAAAATGTTAATTTGCTACATGTCCAAACCAACAAACAAAGTGTGCAATACAATGAATGTTAATCTAACTGGGTTTTGATAGATAACATATCTCTTTTTCTTCTCTCAATTATTTTATTTCTATTGTGCACTCTAATCAATATTAATCCAACTAATGTTCGTTTATACATTTTATNGGCTGAATGTCACGTGGCTGAATGTTTACGTTTGGAAGGCAGCCTTTCAGTTACGATCGTTAACATCAGTTGGCCACAGCAAATGATGGTGAGAAGCTAAACTATCTATTAATTATGTCAATGACAGGGAGTGTGATTGTTGAAAAGCGGTCTTGCTGGTGTTCAAAGAAGAATGACAACACTGTAGATCACCAACACTATGGTTTATTTTTTATTCACAGGCAAGTCAACGTTGTCGCAGTAAAAAAAATAAAATAAGTACTGCTTGTTGCACTCCTGGTTGGAAGCTAAACTGCATTTCGTTGTCTCAGTACCTGTAATATGTGCAATAACAATAAAGTTGAATCTAATCTTGAGCAGGAACAAATGTATTTACTTAGTATATCTGACATTAACGATTAAACACATGTGTGCATTCTTTATGAATGCAAACCGAGTCAAGCCGACTCCGGAGGTGGCGGTATGCACCTTAAAGTGGTTTGCAATCCGCCAAAAAACCGAGAGAAGAAGAAGAAGAAGGCGAAGAAGCCGACTCGGAGCTGTCCGACTTCAGGCGAGCTTTTTGAGACCTCCCCCGGCTGCGATCGGCTATTCTCGTCTACTTTCGAGGCGAGCCGCAACGCGTCTCAAACAAGCCTAGCGGCGGCGCAGTTCCTCTCCACGGGCTGTGGAAGCGAAATGCTTGATGGGAAACGACTCGCTGGTATCTCGAGCTGAGCGCTCATTGGTGGTTTTTACCACGTGCTGCTGATGAAACTCTCCAATTGGCTCGGCAAAAGTTTGTTGTTGTTTGGTGTCAGTTTTACGTCGCCTTTCCATTCACATTTTTCATCATTGTTCCACAATGTTTATCATCATGAAATTAATATCTATATATGTTATACTATACTTGCACTGCTTACCGTTTTTATACTTTATATATCTTAGCATATTCATACACACTGTTCATATTGCTCACAGGCTGCTGTGTATATTCATACCCCTCACTGTTTATTCATCATTCAATTCATTCTATATTTTATTCTGTAGATTGTGTACATTACTTTTCACTTTACTGCTTGTTGCACTCCTGGTTGGAAGCTAAACTGCATTTCGTTGTCTCAGTACCTGTAATATGTGCAATAACAATAAAGTTGAATCTAATCTTGAGCAGGAACAAATGTATTTATTTAGTACATATCTGACATGAACGATTAAACACGTGTGCATTCTTTATGAATGCAAACCGAGTCAAGCCGAGTCCGGAGGTGGCGGTATGCACCTTAAAGTTGTTTGCAATCCGCCAAAAAACCGAGAGAAGAAGAAGAAGGCGAAGAAGTAGAAGAAGAAGAATCCGACTCGGAGCTGTCCGACTTCAGGCGAGCTTTTTGAGACCTCCCCCGACTGCGATCGGATATTCTCGTCTACTTTCGAGGCGAGCCGCAACGCGTCTCAAACAAGCCTAATTTAACCGAAATGAGAAGGGCCCCGGGCTAATCTGTAGACGCCCGCTTTCCTTCAGTGGGGAAAACGATGTGAAACCTTTGAGCGTGATGCAAATATCTTTTGGTACTGTATCTGCTCTGCATGCACAATACTATGAAAGGAAGGAGTAAAGAGGAAGAGGAACAGAGGACACAGACAATCAGATAATGAACCCCTAATTCTGACAGCAGAATAAAATACTGAACATGATTGGTTTGAACACAAACCTCTGTTGAACACTTTATTCACTTTAAGTGAAAGTACAAATAACACGCTGGGAGATATTGTTTAGTTTCCTCACTTCTGTAGAAGTCCTTAAGAATTATCAGAAAATGCACTTGATTTGAAACAGCACTTGACTTTCAAAACTGTAGTTTTTAGCTTTATGTGTTCATCTCCTTCATTAAATAAACAATCCATTTTCATCCGTTTAATTCTTACATTCTTACATTGTTCAGGAATTAAGAAACATATTTCATTTTGATGGTTTTACTAGTTTTTCTGTCCAGAACTTGGACATTTTTACATTTCATCCAAAGAAATGCAGGTTTAATGAGTGGTTATTTTTAATAGATGATTTACAGAGAGCAGAAAAGGATAGATATGAGTGATTTGTGTGTGAGTTATGTGTGTGTTTACCTGGTTGGAAGTCTCTGTGGTGCAGACACAGTTTCCAGCCCTGCTCTCCTTCCAGCACCGGCAGCATCTCTCTGCAAATCCAGGCCTCGTCGTGAATGTTGTAGGAAATGAAGGCGTCGTATTGAAGAGGAGCTCCCTTCTTCCTCCTTCTGCTTTCATACAAGAATGCGAGGAAGAGGTGGAAGGTGTAAGCTATCTGCCACCTCAGAAAGTGGTAGATGAACGATGTGAGGAGTGTCACCAAAGTTATGCAACTGCTGGAAATGAAGCAGAGGAAGCTCACGTCCATCCAACAGGACTGGATGTCAAAGTCCAGCAACTTGCTTCCCTGTTCAGCCACAGGAAAGGAACACGTATACTGATGGCTATTAACAACCTGTGTTTGGGTGTTGCTCCTCACCCATTGAATAAAGCCGGCGTTAGAGCAGTCACAGGTGAAAGGATTGTTTTCCAGGTACAGGTGTGTTAGTGCAGGGAGGTACTGGAAGATCGTCTCGTTGATCACTGTAATGTCATTGTCCCTCAGTTTCAAACATCTAAGTGCAGGCAGGTTTACATGGGTCAAAAAATCCAAAGACTTGATCTGACTCTCAGAGAGATCGAGAACCTGAAGGTTTGGTATTGGCTCAAACAGTTCAGGAAGCAAATCTGACAAGTCAGTCATTCCGATGGTAAGACTCTTGAGCTGGGGATTGAATTGGAATGTTTCTGGGTCTAGGGCCTGGATGTAGACGTTCTCAGCTGTAAATTCCTCTAAATGTTTCATAGACTGGAGCATTTCCAACGGTATGTCAAGGGGGAAGCCAAAGTGATAACCTTTGCATTTTATAGTAAGAACTTTTAAACATTTTAACTGGTAGAAAGCGTCATGATGGCTTGGAAGAGGACTTTTGAAACTGCCGTCGATAAAGAGGTTGATTGTAAGACGTTCCAACTGCACTGTTCCTCTGAAATGAGTTTCATAGTCAAGGGGAATAGATAAAGTCAGGTTTCTTAAGTTGTTCAGTCCGAGAAAAGTCCTACGTTTCACCCTACCAATATGAGTTGACACTACATTTAAAAATGTTAAGGATCCTAAAGCTTGAAAATCCTCATTTTCAAGAGTAATCAAATTGTTGCTGCTCAAATCCAGGAACTCAAGCCTCGGCAGACCTTCTTTGAAGACACCTCCCAATGTCCACAGCAGGTTGTCACTTAAATCTAAAATATTCAGTTCATTAAGATTTTCAAAGACACATCCGTTCAATTTGACAATGCGGTTGGAATCCAGATAAAGCTCTCTGAGGCCTGTTGTGTTTATGAAATCGTTACAGCTCAAATCAGAAATGAAATTCTTTCCAAGATTGAGGATTTTGAGGGAGGAGAGACTCTGAATATCATCAGGCACTTTGGTAAGGCGGTTCCACTCTAGAATTAAAAACCTCAGTTGCTTCATAAATCGTATCTTGTCCTTAGGCAGTTCCCTCATGAAAGTATGAGATAGATCAAGCTCACTGAGGTGGCGGCAATCTACAAGTTGTGAGCTTAAATTGGGGACGTGGTTGAAATCTAGATCTAGCTTTTTAAGTGTTGGTATTCTGCAAACAGTAGCTAAAATACCTTTGTGGATCAATTCCTCCATGTACGTAAGTCTAAGATGCACCAATGAGTCAAGGCTCTCCAGGACTTTTCGTAATTCTTCAAAGGCAATCATAGGTTGACCAAAATACAGTTGAGTTATGTTCCTCAGTAAAGTCTTGTCAGGTACATCCCATTTTAGACCAGAATCCATGCCACTCCCAGTAAAGTTGATAATCTCAAGGTAAGGAAAGATATCTGTTGTGATGCTGAACTTCTCCAACTTGCTATTATAAAGATCTAACACCTTCAGGCTTGAGGACACATTCAATGGAAGATCTTTGGTCTCAAAGGAGGAAAATGGAGTATGTCTAATGCTCAGCTTCTGTATGTTTGGCAGCTGAAGGATGGGCAGAAGGTCAGAGACTTGTTGGAGATTGTTGCTGTCTAGCCTCACTGTTTGTAAGCTGGACAGGAACTGGAAGGCAGAGGTATGAATAAACTGAATGCTGTTTTCACTGAGGTCTAGCATGGTAAGGTTGGACAGTCCCTGGAAGAGCTTGCCAGTGAGGTCGGTCAGTTTGTTACTGTCCATGTAGAGCTGGGTCAATGCACACAAATGGATGAAAGATCCGTCCTCCACATAGTTGATCTGATTGGAGCTCAGGAACAAAATGTTCAGCTTTGACAAGTTTCCAAAACTTCCCCTGTTAATCTGTTCAATCAGATTCCCGAATAAGTTTACTGAACTCACATGGCTGGGAATGTCATCAGGGATGGAAACAAGTTTACGGTTTGAGCAATCCAAAACACCATCTGCCATATATTCAATGGAACAGTTTTTCAGTGAATATGCCAGTGAAAGGCTAGTCTGTAGCAGGAGAAACGTAGATAAGACAAGAAGTCTCTGCATTAAGGACAAACCCCCCATGGCTGGTTTGCTTGTTGAGATACTGCCAAGTTGAGATGTGTTGCCATTAATGGAATTTAAGAGTCCAAATCTGTAGAGGACAACACAACCCATTACACAACATAACTTTATCCTGAAAAGTAATAGCTTGATATTTGTGTTCACTTTTCTTGCTTAGAGAGAAGAAGATGCCTTTAGGTGTGTGTGTTTTTACTTCATGAAAGTTAATTGTAACATTTTGGTTGCATACAAATATCTTGTTCAGCATTATACTTTGATCAGCCCTCTCCTGTTACTTCTGGTTGCATAAAATATGATAAGACCATAATTAATGGGGAACAAAAGGAACTAGAGGGAGAGCTGATGACGGTTTCAACCCTGAAGACAGACAGACGTTGAATAAATGTCTTGTGTATAAATTAAAAAACATCAAAGGCAAGCCATATGACAATAATGATAATGTGAAACTATATGAATAATAACAAAAAACTTTAGAGACAATTTAGATACAATCTATGCTTGGACTTAAGTCAGACATGAGTCCCAAATTTGACTCGACAAAATCAAAGGGTTGCAACTTTACTTGGACTTTAAAACACAAATGACTTGTGACTTCGCTAGGAGTTGAGCTTTTTGACATGAAAATAATCTATACATTCACCCAAGCAGAGGCGGATTGGCCATCAGGAGCACTGGGACATTTCCCAAGTATTTATCTAATTCTAAACAAAACCATTCTCAAAGGAGAGAGAAGTGGCAACCCCGGGGCGGGGCTGTCCGTGGCTCAGACCCGGGGCATGCCTGTGCTGCGTTAAGAGTCATTGCATGAAAGGCATGCTCCGCTGTTTATAAAATCAAATAAACTGACACTGAAGCATTTAACTGTAGATCACATTTTTCTGTAACTATTCCTGTAATTCTTTTCAAATTTCAAAAAAGGTAATTGTGCTTTATCGACTTTTCTTAATAGGGTACTAATTTGTAGGCTACATTATCAAGATAGTAGCACATCATTAAAGTAATGCTCTGTTTATTTTATGTGAAGGAACAATACAAATATGTGTCACCTCTGGCAAATGTCCTGTTTTGTCTGACCAACAGTCTTTCATCTTAAATCCAGTTTACTGTCTGGTAGGAAATGAAAGGCTGAAAAACCTCACATTGAGTTATATATCTTATCTTAAGTACCAGTACCTAGATTCTATTGCATTTCATAAAATTCATGAAAGAAAGAAACCACCAGATTTATCACCAAATTGTTTTTGATACTCACCATTCCCCTTTAGAGCATCGCGTCTCGCAGTCTGATCACAGCCACTCATTTCAGTTCTGATATTTCTACGACAGCAGTAGAAATTAGCTCACTTCCACTTCCCCTTTTTTTAAGTGATTTCCATGATCTCAGAAAACACATCAATAGACATCGGTCTGAAAATACGGGAAGTGTTTCTGAAGTATTGCAGCAGATGTTTGTGAGTGTATTTGTTTGTTTCAGTGATGCTATCAAAGACAGTTTGAATCATGTATTGTTAGTCTGATACTGACAGGAAGCACAGTACATCTCAACAAGGATGGTCAAACTTGCCAACCCTGAGACCTCAGAAATCGGGAGCATTTCAAAATGCAAAATAGGGGGGGGGGGGAGTGCTAGTGGAGCGCCGGAGCTGTTAGATTAACATTAACATGCTTATTGTAGTTCTAAGTGCAATGCCTTGCAGCCTGTAGCACCAGCATATGTGTGGGCTGGACCTGTATTTTACAGGAAAGGAGTGAGCAGAGAGTAGAGTAGTTGTTCTTGTTCTGTTTTCTGTGAAACAGGGTTTTTCTCAAATATTGTTCACAAATCTGAAAAAATCTGTGATAGTGAGCACTTCTCCTTTGCCGAGATAATCCATCCCACCTCACAGGTGTGGCATATCAAGATGCTGATTAGACAGCATGATTATTGCACAGGTGTGCCTTAGGCTGGCCACAATAAAAGGCCCACTCTGAAACGTGCAGTTTTGCTTAATTGGGGGTCTGTCTGGCGCAGGTCTGGGGGGTCCGAAAAACCCTAGGGTTAAACCCTAAAGCCTAAACCCTACCATGTCACCCATTGAGCATCTTTGGGATGCTCTGGATCGGCGTATACGACAGCGTGTTCCAGTTCCTGCCAATATCCCAGCAACTTTCGCACAGCCTCAGGCTCAGTCTGGGGGGTCTCGAAATCCTGTCAGTATTCTTGGTGTCGACCACCATTTGCCTCAACGCAGTGCAACACATCTCCTTTGGCATAGAGTTGATCAGGAATGTTGATTGTGGCCTGTGGAATTGTTGGTCCACGGCTCCGCTCTTCAATGGCTGTGCGAAGTTGCTGGATATTGTCAGGAACTGGAACACGCTGTCGTATACGGCCGATCAAGAGCATCCCAAACATAAAATATATAAATAACAAATATATAAAATATATATATAATAACAAACAAATATAATAATATATCATGTGAAATTATATAAGTATATAAGTAAAACATAAGTTAAAACAAGAAATGAATTACATGAACAAATATTAATATTTGAGTCCGGATTGTTAAATATATTTACATGTATTTGTTTGTTATGTTATTGTTTGTTGTTGTATCATCTTCGCTCGCTCTGCAGGGAGGGGGTGGGAGTGGTTCTCCAGGATGCAGTCCAGCTTCCTCCTCGTCCTTCCCTCTGCCCCCTCCTCCAGATTGTCCAGTTGTACTCCAACTACAGAGCTAGCCTTCCTCAGCTTGTTCAGCCGGTCAGTGTCCCTTGTGTTGGTGTCTCCCCCCCCCCAGCACACCACGGCAAAAAAGAGCCCACTGGCCACCACAGACTGGTAGAACATCTGCAGCAGACTTGTGCTGAAGGACCTGAGCCTCCTCAGAAAGAACAGCTGGCTCTGTCCCTTCCTGAAGAGAGCATCAGTGTTGTCACTCCAGTCCAGTTTATTGTTCAAGTGCACTCCCAGGCCTCTTCCTGCTCCTCCTGAAGTCCACCACCAGCTCCTTAGCCTTGCTGATGTTGAGCTGGAGGTGATTGATGTCACACCAGCCAAAGAGACCAGCCTATTTTAGATCAGGGGTACAGGCTGGATGGCCCAAAAGAGTGACGTTATTCTCCTTCGCCATTAAAGGAAGATGCATTCCAGATCATGATGGCGCCTCCTCCACTGTGCTTCGTAGAAAACAGGAGTGTATAGAAACGGGCCTAATTACATGACCAAGACACAGCTGAGGGACGGTAGAGACACGAAGGCAGCGAGGAGATCGCACACAGATGGAGAGAATCAGGGCATTAACAAAGGCGACAAAAAACACAGTCAGGAAGTAAAACCAAACACAATGAGAAAATACATTTCAAAATAAAACAGGAAACATTAAACACAAAAACTAAGGTCGTGACAGGGGAAGTGTGGACAGTCACTAAGATACTTTTGCCTAAGAATGAGGATCTATACATTTAAATTGTGCCAAAACAAGGAGCAGTTTAATCAAATTGAACTGCACACAAATGTTTCTGTCAAATTCAGTAAAGAAAACAGTTTCCTGTGCCGTGTGTGTATGTTTGTGGCCGCGAGCATCAATAAGACAAGCAGGGCCAGGCTGGGCAGAAGTAAACTGAGGTTTGGGCCCTGTTCATCCACACACACTGATTACACCCACACAAGACGTAACACCAGGGACTGCTCTAAATCCTCAACCCAAACAGGGTGTAGGTTATCCTTTCTAGCTTCACTCATAGCAACCGCAATCACGTTTGAAGTGACGCGTGACGTGATACCACTTGTTTGTGTCACATGTTTGTTGCAAACTCCTAACCATCATTTTGTTTTGGAGTGCATTCTCTAATCAGAAACAATTTTGTTTGGGAAGTAATATGAGGCCTTTCTGATGTATCTAATTTCCGCCTCCTCGACTCCCGAGTCCTCCGGTAGTGACCTGGAAATCGATTTCAGCGCGCCATGTTGAATTTCTCTAAACGCCTGTTGCTTCCACTCCTCTCTCCTCAGTTCCCCTCCTTGACTCCTCCGCTTGCATCTCCTGTGGGCGGGACTAAGATGCGAGGATAGGAGTCGAGGAGAACAGTCGAGGAGGGGAAAATTAGAAATGAGAAAGGTCTATGATCTGTGTTTACATTAGCAAGCATCGCTAACACTCAGAGCTAACCTCTACTGGAGAGAGTATGTGTAAAAAAGCCTGATATTAAAAGGTACTCACCCACCTTGTGGTAAACCCGCAAGAGAAAAAGCATTTGAGCTCCATACTGTTTCAGAAATAATCCTTGATGTGGTTTGGAACTTAATATGGCGTTTAATCACGGCAGCATTTAGCTGAGTATCTGGGTAGCATTTTCCTGCATGAGCTCTCCTCTCTTGCTAACAGCAAATATACTTTTATCATGGTTTGATCTTACTTTTAAAGAAGCAGTAATAACACATAAACACCACCATGTGTATTTGAATGTCTACAGACTGCTCAGATATTCCTCAATGCATCATAGGCCTATGTAGATGTATTCAGTACACACATGCATGCACCCACTTAATCACTTCTTTGCCATTGTTGGTTGGAAAGGTTTGCTTCAGAGCTCTGCAGCACCCCAAGTGGTCCATTTTCATCATAACGAGCTGTGGTGTGTGAGCAGCTTCTCACTCTGCAGCTCACCTGCAGGAGGGACAGATCTCACAGACTCCTGCACAACATGATGCTCTGATCTGAGGTAAGTGACACTGACAGCAGGGCAAAGCAATGTTGTTGTGTGTGTGTTTTAAATGTCTCTTTGTACAAATTGTATGTGTACATGTCTGGCAGCAGTAGTTAAGAAAATTGTAGTTGTGATTCAAGTGTTATGTTTTCTGTTCTAATGATAGCTGCCGTTTTGCTCATGTTATTGCCACATGCATT